GGCTCCAACCCCCGTGAACTGTATGGTAAAACATGGCTGCCAAAGCATTGCATCACACGCCCCACAGAACCACGGCCCCAGTATCCTTTCTGAATCCTGCTCTCCTGAGACAGCCAGAGTGTGTGTTTGTGTGGGAGAGAGAGTGAGTATTGCAACAATGGTCTACCCACGCACTCAGCATCTCAGCCCAGCTAACTTCAGTCACGTTAGAAGTCCACATAAGTTAGATTCTCACAGAGCACCCTGTTAGTCACAGTACGCTGACAGCTACAAAGAAAGGATAATCATGAATGCTTCAATATGGCTTGTTTGTGAGGCAGATTGTCTGTGTGTGTGTGTGTGTGTGTGTTCACTTATTTTGTTCTGCTTGCTTACTCTCCCGCACTGACCAGGTTTTATCTGCAGGAAGTTCAGGCTAAATGCGTCTCATGTGAGCCATGCTTCCTGTCACTGCCGTGCTGATGCAATGTTCAGTAGTGTCAGAAAAGGCTTGAAAGATGGTTTTGAACACCTACTACAGTTTTATAAGTGTATATGATCATGCGAATGAGCTCCATGAACAGTTTAAAGAAAGGCCCTGCCAGTAATCATGATGGTCATTTTGACATGAGTCAGATCCGGGGTAAGATAAACACTGCTTAATTCCTGTAACCAGTTTGGTTTGGATCTCATTGCGGTGACAAATATAAAATTCCTCCTGGGCCTTATTTGTTTTCTTTTAGCTTCTGTGGTTTTCTGCACATATAGCTTTCATATCCCACCCACACTATTTAAACACATACTAAAGAAGGTGTTCCCATGCCCTTTTGAGTGACTGCAGATCAACTCAGCTGTGTCCCTTGAGGGCAGTGGCTAAGTGAGTGTTAGTGCTTTTACTGAATGAACTGCTTTAATGAGACTCTATTTAAATATTCCCTCAGCAACTGACACTGGACAGTAAGTGCACCACAATGTGTGAGTGACCCTGTGATTCACCACTTTATGGCTTGAAAGTATAGCCCACAGGCTACAGAAAGGTTTTAACCTGTGATCTTACCTTGTGGATTTCAGGAGCTGGACACTGATCCCTGATTGGCTGGCAGTCATCCCGTGGCCTACAGCTGTTTTCACACCAGGCACAGAGGTGACCTTGATCCTCCCGGCCCCAGCACTGGGAGCAGTCCGAACTACCCACGCCACAGTTGTACACCTCCACTAGAGAAAGACAGGAGGCAAGGCAGTGAAAGAGAGGCAATTATTGTTGTCATACACCATCGCAGAACTGGATTTGCCTTGTCTGGTAACCAAAGGTGCTTTAAACTTCTAAGCTTCTTTTATAGCTTATATGAACCATATGGGGTGCATGCTCTAAATAAACAGCAAAAGCATTCACAAGATGACATAGCTATGGCTATAAAAACAAGCTAGAAAAAAGAAAGCTTGAGGAGTGGAGCAGAACAAAGCCAGTGAGAAACAGATGATTATGTTTACGGTTCAATGTGCCTCCCAGCGAGAAGTCCCATTTGTGTCACTGCATGTGCATCTGTGCATGCATTTATGTGCATATTACATTGTGTGTGCATCTGTGATCAAGTGTGTCTTATTAAAATTTGATGACTCTGCATGTTATGAAGCAACCGTCATGTCCGTTAACGCTGTAGAGTGACTGGCAGTGGCCCAGGGCTGTTGTTCACATGGTAGACACATGGACTGTGAACAGCACATCTGGGACTGAAACAGGAAAGGACCAGCTTGTAGCAGCACTGACGACATGCCGAGTTCATCAACACACACCAGTTTTGATCATCTCACTGTTGTCATGGAGCTCAAATTGTATTTGCAACAATACATACGGACACGGTTTGAACGTGGCATCGATAACACCTTAAATTGCAGCCCCCTATGTTCTATAATCATTATGTGTAATTAGACAGTAGCAGAAAATGGCATTATGGTAAATTACTAGTTGTTGGCAAATTATGCATTGTAGCAAACAAACTACTACTGTTGCAATTGAAAGGCAGCCTAACACTGTTTGTCCCTGTGAGCGAATCTTTATTTTTCTCCAGCATTAATCAAATCCACCAGTCTCATTGGGAAACATTTGTGCAAAGATTTAATGCATTCTGGGAGCGACCGTGGCAGCGATGTCAGATTTTGTCTTGTTTTTTTTTTTTTGGTGTCTAATTACACAGCAAATACAGGAGCACTGAGCAAACAGCTGAAGCATAGCAGATAGCATTTGTAATTTTCATCAGTTTATTTTTCTACGTGTCTACATAGCTGTGGGTGTAATGTCGTACCTTTCATGGGCTGAGGGCTGTCAACAAAAATATCAGCCCCCCATCCACTAGGGCCTCCTCTCCTCCTCAGGTTGAGGTGGTAAACCTGACTCCTCTGATTAGTGGTCAGCTACATGGACAGAAAGGTCAAAGTAAAACGGGCTGTACTGGTCAATTTGTTCCAGTGGGAGCGTGTCTTGTGTTAAAATATTCCTCCCCAAACTCCCAGTGGTTGTTCTAAACAATAGTTCTCAGTCAATTTCTAAACAGGTGTTTATGATAATTGAGATAAAAACAACTTGCTGTATAATCAGGGCTTAAACCCAACAATAATGAACCAGTAGATGTGCAGCAGCTACGTTTGAGCTAACTGATCTTCACTCAGACTTAGGATTATTAACTCGCTGGCTATTTCTGGTAGGTCATTTTTTATACTTACTGTCACTCCACTGCACTTGACAGCTGAGCTGTTCAGCCATCTAGCCTCATATCGCTGCTCTGTCCCAAAGTCACAGTCCAGCTTCTGCCCCTGTCAGGAAAAGCACTTACTTTAAACAAAATGCATTATTGCACCAATAACAAGCAAACAAACTGTGATGCTGTTCTTACAATGACCTAATCAAGCCTTTAGCATTCACAATAAAACAACTTGGAGAAAACCTCTGCAAAGAAGTAGTATCTCAAATGTTTCTGGTAGCTACCGCCAACTCTGAAGAAGTACCAGGAACTTGAAATAACCCACAGTAATTGTCCCTGCCAGGAAAGGTGCAATCCATTCAAAATTCATATTCATAAACATCTGGGCTCACACACCTCTGGAAGTCATTTGGGACCCAGAGTGATGAATATGAATTCATTCTTCATAAAACGAGCGCTCTGAGTTTTATTGAGCCAAGATATGTGCAGTTAAGACCACGAAGAGGTGAAGATAGTTAAGAGCTGAAGAGGATAAGTGCTTAAAGTGGAAGGCTGTGAATCCAGCCAACTTAAATTGCCCTAATTCCATCAACCTCTCCAGAACTTTGCTATTTGTCTATAATGTTTGACACCAGAGAACGCTGATTTTTTTTTCTTGCATCAGGCAGGTTCTTTTTCTCAGGAAAAAAAAAATCCAGCCTTAAAACGTTGTCTCTGAACTTATGTTCAAGTCTGAGAACTACACTAACAGATACTGGAAAACAAATTTGCAAGAACCTGCGTGTTACTTAATGTTTTAGTATGATTATCTATCATAGTATGAATAATTTATTTTAGGTTTGTCCTTTACTTGAAGTCAGAACCAAACCGAACTCACCACAAATTCCACAAGGGCCTTTCACAAAGAACGAATGTGACTGAGACAAGATGAAGACATTAGTCAAACATCAGTTTGTTTAAACTCTCATAATAAAGAGTAACGTGACCAATCACATCCAGGCTGCCCTAAGGAAATGTGTGTGTGTGTGTGTGTGTGTGTGTGTGTGTGCGCGTGACTCAGTGTCTGTCACCATAGCAACACACCAGGAGAGGGCTCGAAAGGTCAGCCAGAGTTAGGCATGTGAACGACCGCGCCTGGCAGCTAGTCATCCCTGGAATTTTCAGAAGACCCCAGTCATGTTGTTATCAGTTATGCAGGATCAGCATCTGACTCGCTCAGCCTGGAGTTTAAAAACTGATCTGGAAGGACTAGGCCAATTTGAAAAGAACAACAGCGAAATAAAGCTCCTGCTGCTTGTGCTGCCTCAGACCAACTGCACACTGTGCTGACAAAAACACAACTCAGCTAGTCACAGTTAGACACCAGAGACATGGTGGGTCCAGACAGTTGAGCAGTGGGCAACATAAGCATAAAGAAATTCCCTCATTCATCACTTCCAAACTCAGGTTTTCCTCATTCAGTGACCCAAATCACAACATACAAAAATCCATCTGTGTTTAACTCTGCTTGAAGCAAACACACCATATGCTTCTCTTTTATTCCAAGTCATTTTTACAATGTGCTTTCTGGACAAAGTCCAAGCCCAGCTCCATAGCTGGAGGGTGTCTGTTATACCTCCTGGATGTTGCTGAGGGATAAAGTGAAATCCTGGGCAGTTCCTGATGGTGAGGGGGGAACCTCTGAGGCAACCAGTCTGGGACAGGAAGCTGCATTCTGTGGTGAGGAGGAAGTGACATATAGGTGTTAAAGATAACAATGGGTCCCCTGCATGCATCCGCAAACCAAAATACCTGTCCTGTTTATCTGGAGGAGAAGGAAATGAGAGGGTGAAGTCTTGTTCTAAAGAAAACAACAGCAGCTTCAAATAGCAAGATGATGAGGGATTGGAAAAACATACCCAGTGGATGCAGTGATGGGCTCAGCAGAACAGGAAAAAAATCCCTCTGTTCCCTTTATGGCCTATACTACAAAGACCTACAGTGTTAAAGTTTATAAGTTTAAAAATAAACCTCAAATGTAAATGACCAATCATGACTTCAAAAGAAAAGATTATTGTGCTTCTGTTTTGTTTTCAGTGTCTTGGGATCTGAAATAGCACCCCTGACTATTACTGCAGTTGCTTTAACCCCACAATGCAATAATGTCTTTATTAATTCACTTGTTTGACAAAAAGAGCTTTTTATCTTTTCAGGAGAACTTGTGAGACAAAGTTGAGCTTTAAAAAAACTCTATAACACAGCAGCTGAGCAGTGAACTGCCCTCTTACTGGGACCAGTAATGTGAGTGGACACAGTCAGACCCCCACAGCCTAAAAGGTAAAAGTCTGCTGGGATGATGCTCCCTCTCACAGGCCATGAGACTGGGCTCAACACCCCAGAGGTGGTAGAAATAATATGAAGGCTGAATTAAGTCTAGATGTTGTCAGGAACATGCACCATGAATGGTGGGTTTCCATTAAATGTTAACTGGTTTCAATGAGGCTACAGTAGTTTTGGATACATCGCTCAGTTTCACAGTATTTTCATGTGCTTGTGCAAAACCTTTTACACTGTCTGGGGTCACGCCACCATACAGCTACATTTTTCATTTGTACAGCCACCTACTCTAAATTAAGGAATATATGAAACCTTAGCTGAATATGTAGGTGTAGATTTATGTCTTCACTGGCAACAAGCAGTCTTGACATTTAGTAATAGTTCCCTACAAAAACAGGGACACAGTTCCACATGCTGGGATATTCAACAGAACTGCCAAGAAAGAGAAACTTATAGGAGGTCAGAAGGGCTTCAAAATGGTATATTACCCTGCTATGAGTCTGTAAATCCAGAACCTCCTGAGAGTTTATGGCTGGTTTCAACATTTCTACACACTGTAGTTGAGACACTTGTAACCTCACACTGAATTGGCACACGACTGCTGTTGCCTAACTTGTCTGGACTGAGATCATTACAGCACACTTGCTGGACAGCAGTGTCTGGATTATGTCTGAGGGCTCTGACTAGTGGGATCATAATATTATGAGATCCTCCAAGTGACTGTTTTGTCAGTGGAATAGAAAAAGGAATATTACTCACCTCTAACAGGTTATGCTTTGATTCATCTTTACTGGAGACACAAAGGTGGTTCTCTTGGTCCCAGTAACACTTCCACCTAGTGCTCAGGCAGCTCACACATCTGATACAAATGAAGATGCACAAATATGGAAATAGTTGAGAAATAAAGATCAAACGTTGCCAAATGTGGCCTGGTTTCTCCCCTGTATCTCCTACTGATCTGTTCCCATGCAGTAAATAATCTTTTTCAAATGTTGATTCATTTGGAGTGTAACACAAACAGAGAGGCCAAACTGATTGTAGTCATCATAGTTTTGCTTTAATAAAAGGAAGTAATGATTAGTCACAGTAGCAGAAACATTGATTCCAGCACAGGCAGCCAGGAGGTCAAACTGGGAAACAAAGCGCTTCTCTATAAACTCCCCGACTGGTAGATGATGATGTATGTGAGTGAATCCTGTCTCCTGTATTCATAGTTTGAGTTTTACACCACCTAAGTGAGAATATTTTGACAAGTGGGTCCATCAACATTATTCATACTCACTGGTCCAAGACATCCACATAGGCAGGGTAAAGTGCACCCCCTTTAAAACTGGGAGTGAGATGTGGCATGTCTGAAAATATATCGGTTTTAGTGAAGTGAGGCCTCTCTAGCTCTGGCCCTTAAGTTTGAAGGCTTTTGATAGCTAAGATGTGGTTTAAGGTTAAAGGATAAGTGTGGTGATACTGATACTTTTTGAACTGTCAGTAAATTTAATGAAACATTCCAAAACCAACAATGTATCAATCCTATTACAAGTGCTGTCTGTGTACTCGAAGCCTGATATAACTTTATCTCTCTGAGCAGTAGACCTCCACTGTTGGGAAAAACATCAGTGAGCCATACTGCTGCAATGCTGCGACATTATGATTAACTTGACCACTGTAGTGTATTTTCAGTTTATCCCCTATACACCATCCTGCCGTCGTAAACTTGACAGCACACCAATCCCAGGTGGTATCCACACTGTTTTTGTTTTGCCTCCGAAGCCTTTGAGATATTCATCTCTAAGACTTCTGCCACCAACCCGGTATTAATATGTATGAACATTTGTTTTGCTTGATTTGTGTGATCGACCCCCTAGGACAGAGTAGGTGTTAAGTTTCACCATGTAGTTGGAAAGATTAACAGTATAGTTTGGGAATGTGGATTGTACTAGTCAACACTCTGATTGCAGTAAAAATATGAGCATGTGTCTTCCAATTAAATTACCTAAAGTGGAACACGTCCAATGTGGAGTATGTGTGTTTGTGTCAGCGAGTAGTGTGTGTGTGTGTGTGTGTGTTACTGTATGGCCTTCGGGATGAGACAGATGTCCCACGCTAGGAATGACAGCGCCTCCAGTGATAGCAGCACTGTGAGGGAGTCTTTAGATTGGGAGGAGTGAAGTGGTTGTAAAAGGATGCCCGAAACGTAATTGAAACGTACGCCCGTGTGTGTGTGTGTGTGTGTGTGTGTGTGTGTGTGTGTGTGTGTGTGTCCTTATTAGGAGCAGACGGCCCCCTCAGGCTTTTATCATCTGCAGCTTTTCTGTTTTCCATGACTCCCTTTCTGGCCTATTAAAACACCTATACACTGTCACCCACCCACTTTCACAACCCCCCCCCCACACACACACATATATATTTGTATAGCTGTCTTTGTGACAACACTTACTGACATAATGCAATTTCTAGCCCCTAATCCTAACCATAAAGGTGAAATAACTAAGATTTTATGTATTGTGTCATATATAATGTGAAAATGGGACCGGACACGATGTCCCTCAGCTTCACTGACCCCCTCCATGGTCTGTAAATTACAAGAAGGGTTTTTCAAACTGAAGTCATTTCACAAGCACCTGACCACAAAGGACATCTCACAAGCTAAAAGTACGAGACAGTGGCTACCAGACCAGGGAGGGCAGTGTCTTTTGCACGGAGAGAGTGGGACAAAGAAGAAAAAAAAAACAGTGTTAACATGGCCTTTTGAGATGGAGAGCGTTAGCAGCCAAAGGACGCAAATTTGATTCAGATGTGATGCTCTTCCTTCTGGATGTGTAATATGTTTATTTTGATAACATTAGTGACCTAGCAGGTCATGATTTGACCTTTGTGTTGAATTAATATGACTTTAATTTCAGAGTAATTCAAGCTTTGTGTAACATTAATGCTTTATGTCACATTAGCAGTAAATAGAGTGTTCTACTGGACTGACAATTTACTCATTAGTCAGCAAACACTAACTTTAGACTGGAGGCTACTCTTTGTACAGTTTGTTGCAACCAGGCATCCATAGTTTATGTGATCACTAGGAAACAGGACATGAAGGGAGGGGCAAAGGGTGGTTAGGAGCAATTTATGGTCTCAGTTTTTTTGCATCTCACTAGACCCTCTAGTTCAGCCCTATGATAGACTGGTGACCTGTCCAGGGTGGACCCCACCTCTAGCCCAATGTCAGCTGGGATTGACTCCATCCCCCCCAGTGACCCTATTCAGGAATAAGTGGTATAGATGGTGAATTGATGGATAGACCCTCTAGTGGCTAAAAAGAAAGGCAGAGTAGACAGAGTAACTTTAACCAATGCCTAACCCCAACCCAAACCCTAAACTAAATCTCATTCTCACCTGAACCCTAAAACCAAGTCTTAACCTTCAAATGGCCCTTTGAATGGGTGTGAGAAATTGAGGACTGGACAAAATGTCCTCACTCTCATGGTATGAAATCCAAACCGGTCCTCACACTGCTGGTTATAGAAATACACGCAGAGACACACAAACATACAAGTTATTCACACACAGTCTCTCTCTCTCTCTTTCTCTCTCTCTGCTTGACCTAACTCTGACAGTAAATACCCCGTGACACTGCCCACCCCTAGTCATAATGACCATGCACGCATACACACACACACACTAAATACACAGTCAGGCTTGCACTCTCAGGGCCTCTTAGTGAACACAGTGGTTAAACACACATTCTCAATCACATCTCTGTCAACAAGAAATACATCCAGAAGAAAAGGCCAGTTTCAGGGGGAGTGACAAAGGAGAACAGAGCGAGCGGGCGGACGTACAGAGACAGATGAGAAGAGAAAAAAGAAGACAGAGGTGCCACAACACGGGACACA